ATAGGAAGTAGTTTTAAGTTTCACCATTTTCATTCACTCAACAACTGTTTATTGCAGGTCATTATGCAAGATATATAAACATACGTAAATGAGATTTGAGTGCACATGATATGGAGGAAAAAACAAATCCCTCAAAGTGATGTATAATCACGCTGCATGATCAGAATCACAGGACTGATCAAATGAATGATGAAACTTGCGAAGGTCTGGGAATGTACTGTGTGCCAGGAACTATGGTGATAGATTCTAAACAGATTGACATTTAGTTCTCAAAACTGCTTTCTCACTATCTCACTTGACAAGATAGAAGTTAGAAACTTTAAGTGATCATGTATTATGCCCAAGGTTAACCAGCTTGTAAGTGGGAGAGCCAACACATGAACCCAATCCAATCAGTTCTGGAGCCTGGACTCTGAATTTGAGACAACTATTCTTAAATGTTTGAGAGACTCAGAAAGAAGCTACCTCCAGCTCAGGTGCCTGGACAGCTCCCACCTTTGAGGGAGAATTGACATAGATTAAGCTGGGAGAAGTACTTGCCAACAGATTCACTAGGGTTTTTAATTTGTAAATCTTTCTGTTATAAAATACCAAGTCACTAAAAAAAAGCTTAAAAGATGGAAGACTTGAACATCTTTATTTTACATGTTAACTGAAATTCTGCTTGTATTTTTATTCCTGTCCGTTCTCACATTAGTAGTGCTATTATGACACACAATGCCAAGAAACAGCTATATTGACTCATAGAGTCTTTGGAGAAAACACTGATTGAGAGCTCATTGAAAACTGCATTGATTTTCATTGCTTTCTCAATGAGGTCAAAATAGACTACACTATTATTAATAATGAAGTGTTTTATACCTAAATCTCATTTATTCTTCTTACCAAAAACCAGATATTATGCAAAGGTACTTCAAAAAATTCCTATCAAATAGAATGAAAGGATAAGTTTATTTCAGCTCAAAAGGTTTTTGAAGTTAATTGAAAATGTATATTATGAAAAAGCTACACATGGATTTCAAGATGTTTTGCATCAAAAATAAACGTATCTTTTACTTTTATTTTTACTTAAACTTGTTGTTTAGCTTGTACTCTTTTATTAGAATTTCTAGAAGGTGGAACTAGGAATTTGCACTCAATTTCATATTGAAGAGTTTTGTCTAATCAGCACTTGAAGAGCCCCTCATAAGAAGATGTGACTTGTTGATTTCAGAGCTCTTTCCAATTTCTATTTGGTTAGGAACTTGTTTTGTACTTTAAAATGTCTACACTTTTTAAAAACATAATATACATACAGAAAAGCTTTTAAAGCCTAAGTGTACAACTTAGTGAATTATCACCAAGTTAACACACCCATGTAGCCACTGCCCAGGTAAAATCACCATTCCAGAAACTCCCCTCAGGCCTCCTCTCAAGGGAAAATACACTTCAGAATAACGCAAGAATAGGCAAAAATGATTAAAAAAAAAAAAGCACAGTTCAACAGATCTCTTGGGTTTTTAAATTTCGAATGCATGCGCAAGGAGCACAGCACCCTCCTGGGATCATTGTGGACACGACCCGCGTTTACTATGAATGCACGCTACTGCCAGATGCAAGGAGAAAGTGAACAACGCCTGGTCATTTCCTTGAGGAATTCGGGGAGAGACCGGATTATTACAACCTAGTTCAGCTGTTTATTGTTTGGTATCACACACTGTAAGTCCAACACCTAGAAATTCCAACAGTATATTCTAAAGGTTGTCCATCAGATTAATGGTCTATGAATGAGAAGAGAGGTTTTCATTTTACTCCTTGCTCATCAAGTTACAAGCTGATATATCTGCTAGAACTCTTTGATTACAAGTAACAGGAAAAAAAAAAACCTCCAACTCGCTTAAGAAATAAGTAAATAAATGAGTAAATGATGAATGTATAATTTAGCCACCATTCAGGAATTAAAAAGCCCTCGGAATTCTCCACCTTACATATTCATTTTTCTTTTTTATCTACTTCAATATTCTGCTTCTCTAAACTCCAGTTTCTCTGCTTCTCTGGTATACCTGGTGAAATACTAAAGTATTTTTTAAAATTCATGGAAAGTAGAATTAAAGAATACATTTATTTTAGAAAAGTATATTATGAAAAAACTATTCATGAATTTAAATTGGTTTTTGCACCAAACATAAACATCTCTTAATTCCATTTTCCATGAGGTTTTGAAGTGTCCTCAACAGCTAAGAGGGTGGAAATTTAATCCAACTGTGGTGTTTAACAGGTGGACCTCCTAAATGGTATATAGTGCATTGGGGATACGTCCTTAGACGATAATGCTTGGAAGAGACTGTTACAAAAGCAGAATGGAACCCAAACTCCCTCTGTCTCTCTACAATTCCTGACCCACCATGTGACCCCTCTTCTATATGTTCTTCTATATACTGCATCCACCACATTCTGAGAGGCAAACCAATGAGGCCACCCAATCTTGGGCTGTTAGCCTCCGGAACTATGAGACAAAATAAGCCTCTTTTCTTCACAAGTAGTTTGTCTCAGATATTTCATAGTAGTAACTAAGAGCTGACGTTCACATGCACCTGGTTTTGATCAATGCCTCTCACATTTCTTCCACTTTGATCAGACCATTGCTGGATTCCTGCTTTAGGCTGAAGGCCGTCCTGATGATCTGGAAGCTCGCATGAACAAGTTCACTAGTTTTACCCTCTGTGTGTTCTATATTTCCAACATCAGATGTACTGGTTATAAAATTGAGAATTTTCTCATAAAACTGCCCTCTGGAGAGAAGCCTAGAATTATGATCTCTTCTCTAACAGCTGCTTTTTCTTCCTGTAGACCCCATAGGGATAAACTAAAGCTTCCTTCTTATAAGAAATGCTTGTCATAAGGAATAGATGAGTGTGAAAATGCCTTTTACAGACCCTCTGTCTACTTCTGCAGTAGGGATTATTTAAACATGAATGAGTTTCATGATGATTTGAAATTGACCACCCCCTCCGTCTCCAAGTGCTTCTGGATCACCTCCCCAGCTGTTTAGAAATTTGTTGAGCCATTAACTGCTGCTGAGGCTGCTCTGAGCTCCCTTTGAAATGGTGGTCCCCCAGCTGCAGTACATGATATTAATGAGCAAAAACTGACTGCCTGCTGCTTCCTCTGCCGGGCCCTTCTGGGCTCTGACAAGTGCTGCCACTGCCACTGCACGGCCTCCTGGCCCATCAGGCCTCCAGAGTGATGGATGCCCCTGTAAACACTTCTGTTTCCACAGCTGATTGGCTGTTTTTCAATCAGCTCTTCCAAGAATACAGAGGTTGGGAAAGTTCTGTTTTTCTCAGTGTTCTTCTCATTGTTTTTGGCCCATTCTACAGATGAACAACAAGGACTACATGCAAATCCCATAAAAGAGAGCAGAATTGGATCCTTAACCAAACTCTTCTTAAATGCCAGTTTGTGTCAAGAAAGGAGCAAAAGTCCATATTCACTTTAGACACATAGATAAATAGTTAACTATTTCCAAAACAAATGAGCAACTATTGGAGGAATTTGGCAATCCCCTTATACAAATGGCTGACTGACTGTCCCATACATTATCAAACAGTATACAGAGACTGTAATTTTGGTGTTCAGTTAAAGGCTAAGCATACCTCCTGCCCTCTCTAGCATTTGATTGAAATGCATGCCCTTGCACATGTCATGTGGGAATGGAAGCATGAAAGCCATCACATGTATCACCATTTTGAACTAGGCACCATGGTACAAATATTTGTAATGATCCATTTAGTCCTCACAGCCTCCCTTTTAGGCAGGGCTGATATGGACACCTCTTCATGGATAAGGAAGCTGCGAAATTAAGTCACTTGCCTGAGATCACATAGCTTTAAGTGGCAAAGCTAGATTCAAACCCAGGCAGGCAGACACCCCACTACGTGTTCTTTATCATTCTTATTTCACAAGAAACTCAGCAATGTCTTTAATCGTCCCTCCACAAACAGATAGAGCTAAGCTATTGGAACCTTCCCTCTCTGGATTTAGCTTCCTTCTCGGGCTCCTGAAAAAGAACTTTATACTCGGCTCACAGGACTACTTCAAATGCAAAATGGGATGTACTTTTCAGCTTTGAAAATCAGTAGTAAATTGATATGATTTGAGCCTCTGAAGCAGTGTTTCTCCAAGACAATTCCATGGACCTCTAACATCAGTATCTGCAGAGCATGTCTGTTTCAAAAGAGCCTAAACTCAACCACAACTCACTGAAACTCCATCTCTAGAAGTAGGTCCCAGTGACCCGCATTTTTACAAAGCACCCTAGTAGTGATCTTTATGCACACTAATGACTGACCATCATTACAAAGTTGCATCCGGAAGTTTCAGGAGCTCTGCACATGATCAATTCAACTGCAGATGATTGCAGAAAGCTTTCGGAGCCTCTTGGCATTCAATTGCTATTTGGGGACAGGGCAGGATAGGATGGGGAAATTGTAATGTGCAAGAAGTGTTTCTAAATTGTTGTGGACTCCTATGTGAGCCAGCTGGCCAAGAGAGTTCGCATAATTTCCCAAAAGACTCCAGTTAAGTGGGCACTTGTATATTATTTACCTATGAAATATAGAGAAGACAATTTTACACTCTGGTACCAAATTGAAGAGCGAGATTATGAAGATCTTTCTCTGTCGGAGATTTTTATCATCTTTCTCTTTTGCTCAAAACCCTTCCAAGTGTCATACCATGGACTACAATGGTTCATATAATCTGGCTATGCTCACCCCTCCCAAACACACTCACCCACTGCTCCGGTCCCCCTGAACTGCCTTCACTTCTTCTGGTGCATGGAACACCACATGTCTTTGCAAATGATCCAAGGACATCAGGAGCTCCTGTCCCAGAACCCAGTTAGCTCTCACTCTTCCCTCAGAGCCCAGCTCAGATTCTGCTTTCTCAGGGAAGCCTTCATGGACCTACCACAAGAAGCCAGTGTTGCATTTTGTGCCCCGCTCTTCTATGGAACTCACCAGTGTCTCCATCTGCTTTTGAGTGTACAGCAACTTTATTCCCATCTGTCTTCTGAAGCAAACTCCAAACAAGAACCACAGCTGTCTTGTGAGTTCTGGTGTCTAGCCAAGTGCCTGCTACACAGGAAGCATGCAACGAATCACTGTAGAGTATCATAAATGCAAAAATTAATTTGTGATGTCATAAATTTAACATTCATTCTACAGAGATTCCACATTTTTTCATTTCTATTCCTGTCTTTAAATAAGAGTGGAGACAGAAAATCTGAACCCCAAAGTTCTCCATGTGTTCTAGGTTTCCTTAATAAATGTGTCAACAGCTCTAATCCTGATCTTATTTTTAAATTGCTAATCCTATGACTAAATAGTCAACAGTTGTTAAAAGGAAAGTTAATGAAAGAGTGGAAATTTCTGATTTTGAAAAACTACAAAGTAACTAATTATCTGCTTCCCCCATTACTTCAAAGGCTAATATGTATTCTTGTTATTGAGCAGAGTAGCAAGTATGATGAACTAATTGGTCAAGACAGACTTTACTTAATTGGATTTTGTCACCACTTTTAAATGTAGCTTTATGACTAATGCTATGACTAATGATACCAATTATCATACCTACCTTTCCTAAGAGTGTAATCTATAGACGTATCTTAGTCCTCACAGTAATATGATTATCATATTTGTTTAAGCTAATTTTGACACCAAGTGAGGGATTCAAAAATTTGTTAAGTTCCAAGCATGTCAAAAGCTGGAAGTGTTCATGTCTTAAGACCTATATAGCATCTAGCAAACTGTGTACTCAAAAATTGCATTCTACACAACAGATATATATATCAAAACCTAGGAATGATAAGAGAATATCCTCCACTCATTCTTAAAATACTGCCCTAAGGAAGCTATGTGCCAGTAGCCTCTCATATTCTCTCTTGATATTTAAGACCTCCTATATTCTCTCTTGATTAAATAGAAGTTTCATCTTTTTTTTAACTTTTATTTAGTAAATATAAATTTCCAAAGTACAGTTGATGGATTACAATGGCTTTCCCCCCCGATAATTTCCCTCCCACTTGCACCCCTCCCATCTCCCGCTCCCTCTCCCACTCCATTCACATCAAGATTCATTTTCAATTACCTTTATATACAGAAGATCAATTCAGTATATATTAAGTAAAGATTTCATCAGTTTGCACCCTCACAGAAACACAAAGTGTAAAATACTGTTTCAGTACTAATTATAGCATTACTTCACATTGGACAACACATTAAGGACAGATCCCACATGAGAAGTAAATACACAGTGACTCCTGTTGTTGACTTAACAATTTGACACTCTTGTTTATGGCGTCAGTAATCTCCCTAGGCTCTAGTCATGAGTTGCCAAGGCTATGGAAGACTTTTGAGTTCGCCGTAAATAGAAGCTTCATCTTACCCATTAAAATGGAAAAGGATTGGAGAGTCACAGGTGGGTTTAGTGAAATTGACAGCGAAGCAACACAGAAAATTAAACTCAATGCTGCCATTTGGTTAGATAAGGGTATTTCAAAATGCTCATGGAAAAATTGGAGTTAACAGATAAGTGTGATGCAAAACACCCTGAAATCCATGCATAATTTTTTCATAATAAGGCCCCCCATACTTTCCAAACATCATCACCTTCCAAACCCACAATTCTAACATTCATGTCATAAAAATCTGTGAGAAATGGTAAATAAGAATACAGGTTGAGCATTCCTTATCCAAAATGCTTGAGACCAGAAGTGCTTTGAATTTTGGATTTTTTCAGAATTTGTAATATGTATTTGTGAACGTGTCTTGGGGATGGGCCCCACATGTAAAGGCAATTTTATATGAAATGTCAGTGTGCCTTCATTTTGACTATGACCCATAACATAAGGTCAGGGGTGAAATTTTCCATTTGTGACCTTGTGTTAGCACCCAAAGAGTTTCAATTTGGGGCATTTCACCTTTTAGATTTTGGATTAGAGATGCCTAGTCTGTAATATTAGTGAACAACTATGCTTCATGCCTAAAGCGTTCTTGACACCTTACAAACTTCACTCAGTCCACACTTCTATTACTTACTAATAGTAGGTACAATTACTAATCCTATTTTACATATTGGAAAACTGAATCAGAGAGTATATCACAGCCATCCCATCACTAATCTTTTTTGGAACCAAGATTCTGTCTCAGGTAGTGAAGCGTCCACTCCTAGCTAGCTGTTAAATTTGACTACCTCTCATACACACTTTATTTAAGAACAACGCATCAGGAAACTTGGTCCTGCTTGCTTCTTTCTCTTTCCATTTTCCTTAGGGGATGGGGTGGGAGATGCCTTTTGCTTTGGTGTGTTGTGTTGTGTTCCAAAAGAGAAACTGAAAGCGAGCCTTCTTTCTCCAAAGCAATTTATTATTATGTGGGACCAGGAAGGACACTGATTCAGAAGACAAAGCACTAATGAGCATCCCTCTCTATCTCCCTCCCTGTCTCTTGGTTCTGCAGTTAATAGCCAAGATACCAACCATCACTGCAGTTTGCAACTTGCACGGGGAGAAGCTTCAGGTATTTAAGCAATCTCATCCAGACATAGTGAATACACTGTTTCCTCCGCTATACAAGGAGCTCTTTAACCCTGACTGTGCCACCGTCTGCAAATGAAGGAGACCAGAGAACTGTCTCATAGTCATGGAATGCATCACCATTAAGACAAAAGCAATGTGTTCATGGAAACTTAAGGAAAATGTCACTACTGCAACATTAGGAATGTCCTGCACTTAATAGAGTTATTTTTCACCGCTACAGTTTGAAGAATGTAAATATGCACCTGAGTGGGGCTCTTTTATTTGTTTGTTTGTTTTTGAAATGACCATAAATATACAAATATAGGACACTGGGTGTTATCTTTTTTTAATTTTATTCGGGTATGTTTTGGGAGACAACTGTTTATAGAATTTTATTGTAGATATATTCGAGAACAGAGCGGTACTTTACATGATTACTTTTCCTGTTGATTATTCAAATATAATTTAAGAAATTCCACTTAATAGGCTTACCTATTTCTATGTTTTTAGATAGTTGATGCATGTGTAAATTTGTAGCTGTCTTGGAACGTATTGTGCATGTATGTAATAAGTATATAATATGTGAAAATATTATATATGACTATTACTTATACATGCACATGCACTGTGGCTTAAAATATCATCCCTACTAGCAGTGGAGGTTCAGTCAGGCTCTCTTAAATGATTTATCTTCTGTGTTGTATGTTACCTTTTTGTTAGACAATCAGGATTTTGTTTTCCTAGCCAGAGATGTTTTCATCTCTAATCAAAGGCAGGGCAGTACCAATTCAGAAACACATCTGTGAAGGAATAAATAGAATGCATGGCCTCTGCATAGAAACTTTTTCTATCAATGACATCAAAGCCTTGTCAAGATGGTACTTATTGGGGTTGGGAGAGAGGGGAAGTATCTGGAGCCATTTTCCTGTTTTAAGAATTCGGCTTTAGATAATATTGTAAGGTCTGAGACTTTTTTGACCAAATGATAGGTATTTACTATTTTTCATCAAAATACAGAAAACACTTTTTTCTTTGGGTTTCCAGTTGTGAAAGAAACTTGACTTTGGTGCTTACTGAAAAATACTGCCTGTGGATTATGACCACCAGCAATTCTTTTCTAGAAAAAGGAAAGAGTAAATCAGAACACAGGGCCCAATGCCATTTCATGTAAACGTTTTCCCTCTAGTCATTTTGGCAAAGAAAGCGTAGAGAGAGAACATATACAGTAAATAAATAATTATTTATATTAATTCTCATTAATACATTTGTTGGGAAAAGTGGCCAGCGAGAGGGAGGCAGGACTCTCTATGTCTTAGTCCAGGACCTAGAATTTTTTTCAACTCTGAAATGTTATATTATAAAAATATAACAAAAGCTTGACAGACTAAGAAAAAATAGCTGTGTTATGCTAAGGAATTACTATATGCCAACATCCTAACTATTTCCTATGGAGTTTGAAATTACATCATCTATCCAGCCTAGGCTTATTTAATAGCTCTTGAAAGTACACAATGCAAGGGTGACATCCGAATCAGAGAATTTAAACTTCCTTGTACAAGTTTTCACTTCTCCACATTTCTGCAGTAAAATTAATAATCAAAGTATAAATTATAAGGCACTAGTTCTGCCTCTGTCCTGAAACCTGTGCCTTTGTTATTATCTGATTCAAAATAAAGTATTTAAAAAGGAATCTAGGGGAGAAGCTTGTGTATAAGGCAATGAAAATTGTGGTCTTCAAAAGATTTAGCCAGCCCCCTATTTATGAAGATCTGCCCTCCTTTTCTCCTCTCTCTCTCTCTCTCTCTCTCTCTCTCTCTCACACACACACACACACACACACACACACACCTGATCTGTACATTTTTGTCAGTGGAGGGGTTCATTTTTTGCATCTCTTAGGCTCTCCTGAAGTTCCTGGTCGAGAACCATCTCCAAGATGCCTCAGAACTCCTGACTGACGACCAAAGCATTAGAGTTAGTCTTTTCCTTTCAGAAAACGGAGCCTTTTCTCACCTCATGATTGATGAATTCCAAACCAATGGGGAAAAACAAAAAGGCTTTAAAATAATGAATCTCTTTCTCAACTACTGTTATATTCAATTAATTTAACTACATTGAACCAAATTACCTTTGGTTCTGAGAAGACAGCTGTAGACTGCTTATTATGCTGCTACAGGGACTCAATTCTTTTTGGTGTAAATGTCACTCCTGCTAGCTCTTTGTATAAAGAATTAATTCCAAGAGTCATATTTCCTTCTAATGGAAAGATTACTTTACTGATTGCTAGGAAAACAGGGTAATGGAAGGCACTCAATTAAACCAAGCCGTTTCCAAATGCAATGTATGTTTTATGATTGGCTTGTGATAGGCGATGCTTAATGTGTCTACTTGGTGTTTCCCTTTGAGCTTTGAACTTATGTCAAACTTTGTTTTCATTGTTCTGTTGGCCTAGTGTTTCCCATCGTCAGCCTGTAATTCCTGCCCAGTTGTAAAGGGAATCATTTGTTGCCTCCAATTTACCTTAGAGAATTTAAATTGGCTCAATTGATGAAGTGACTGAGAGTTTTTTCCTCCCTTGTCCCATGAGTGATGTAGGAAAAAGATTGTTCCCCACATTTGCCTCAGGAGGTGCTGGTTTTGAATTTGTGTCATTTCCACTAGTGCAAGCATTTCACTGGGACGGCATGAACCTTTTGAAGCTAGGGGACAGGAAGCAGGGCTCGCAATTGAACCAGAACAAAACAATGGAAACCAGTACATGTTCAGCCCATTTCAGTTGAGAGAGGAGATTTCCAGTTTTGGCCACAGTTGCCCATTTTCCCTTAAAAGAGAATCAAGTCTGTTTTCAATGGCAGCAAAGCTTTTGAACATCTCCTGTGACTACATGTCAAGATATTTTGTGATTTTGGTAAGAACAACTTTCTTTATAAGGTGTAACCCCAGAACTTTGTTCCTCCCCATGAGAGCTCACATGCTCACAACACACTCATGATAAAGTGTGCGCTGGAAGAAAGAATCCATGATCTGTCTTTCTCATTTCATGCTTTGTAAATGACAATCACTGTTTGATGCAGATGTTGCACTGTATCCACTCAGGGATGTTTCAATTTTTAAACAAGGAGTGGGGAGAAACAGGAAAATGACCACAAAATGTAAACAGTATAAATTAAATATGACAATGAGGAAACCTCTGACAAGGCTTTCAGACCAGCTAACTTCATGTCATAAACTGAATTTACTTTTATTATATGAAGTTGCCTAAAAGTTGCACATGAGTAAAGACAACCTAGTCTTGTTGTCTGTAATCTGTTCAGAGCCAAATAATCCAGACACCCCGTTCATAGTTCTCCCAGTAAATCCAAGCTTCTGCCTATACAAGTCCAGAGCAAGGGAAACATAGAACTCTAACTGGCATTAGACAAAATTGACAAAGGAGATGAAGTTGTATAAATTCACACTCTAGTGTATAGCTGTGGTCCGTGAAAGGAAAGACAATTTTTGGAGGAAAAATAAGAGAACAAGGGAGTCCAAAAATGGCTTGACACTCCACATACGTCCCTACGTATCAATTTTTTTGTGTCTTTTTTCCCCCTAAAGACTGAAGGCGGAGGGTGGAGATGTACTCAACACACTTACCCCTCCAGGATTTGACTTGCTTTTGTGAGATCGTCAGGGTTCTGGCTAAAGCACCTCTGAGTAGATAAAAACAGAGAACGCAATGGTCTCTCGGATAATTAGATTTCTTTGGCAGAATCCAAGAAAGCCTACATCATAATGAACTCTGAATCACACAAGCTGCCAGGGAGGCATTGGTACATTTCCTATCATAGCTGCGTTGTTCCACACATAACTTCACAGCAGTCAAGCTCAACAGTTTGTAGAAAGGCTTACAGATGGATAGTCTACTCATGCTCACTCATTGTGATGCTATATGTACCAGGCTTGAATGTCCCAAGAATAATCTGAAAACTTACCAGCTTTTTCTCAAATCCATCAGTCAGATGCAAACAATGTCAGTGCTGTTCCATATTCTTTGTTTCTGTTTATTACAGCAACAAGGAAAATTTCTATTGTTACTGGAACTTAGAAGAAATAATTTCTCCCCAACTCTTCTTTTATCCATAAATGTCTGTGCCCAATGAAGTTGGACAATAAATCCAAGCAAGTACATTGTAACCTGACAGGGCCCCCATTCAGTAGGACAGCAATAACTTTAAAGTGTGTATCTGTAGTGAAACTTTGCACAAAGTCCCCTTTATAAAGAAGAGAGAATAGCCCACGATCTGCTTCAGACAAACTATTCGATCTTCTGTTTCCAATTGCTGGTACAAGCAGAAAGGAGGGTTAAGGCCTGGTATGGAAAATCATGGGAATCTTTCAGAAAAGAGCCAGCACCCCTTTTCTTTTCTTTTCTTTTCTTTTTTTTCTGGAGGACTCTTAGGACCAGTGGCATGGGCCCATTAAAAGCAGGGGTTAACATTTCAAAGGTCTAAGGGGGCCAGGGAGTGGATACAAGAGAGTGAAACAGCCTAGTGGGCAACTGGCCAGGAGATGCCCTATCTAAAATGGGACATCCCCTATTCCGCTGACTATTGCTAGAGCTTCTGCATTTTTATGAAATCTCTTGAGTTATAAATGATGGGAGTTGATCACAGCTTAATGCAGACCAACAATGCATCTCTAGCAGAAGAGGGCCCAGAGACAACTAGGTCACAACCTTCGGTTGAAACCAAAATTGCACCTAGGGGCCTGTTCAGCTGCAGCATCTGACCTTACTGAACCCCAGATGATACTAGAATGGTATTAGCATAGGAAGGAGGCGCAGGGAAGAGATCTTGCCCTTTTGATACTCAATTTAATTTCTATATTTAACTATCACTACTCAAGGATATAGGAAGAGGTCAGTTAAAAAAAAAAAAAACAGCCAATGGTCAAAAAGTGAAAGCAATTCAGTTTAATGAAGGCAGAAACAAGACACTTGTATTTGTCTTTCCAGAATGCCCATCTTCACAGAGCCAGGGGTCTAGGTTTCTTGCTACTTTTTCTAAAAGTCAAACCCAGGACTTTGATGCCTTTGAGTTTCAATGTGTTTCCTTTAAATGTGTGGCTTCACTATCTGCAACAAGGTTTTGTTTTCCCGTAGTCATATGTATCTGAAGAATTCTTTCTGCAGTCCTGATCGCACAGTCCTCCCTGAAGTGCAGACCATGGGTTCTTACGTAGCAGAGGGAGGTTGTCTGTCTGTGCACTTTTTCCTAAGCTGCTGGAATTGCTCCGATGGGAACTGGCCATAGTAATCTTTGCCTCCTGCATGACTCCAGTGGATCAGAGAAAGCAGCTCAGTGATTGTTCTCATGGTCAAAAATAAATAAAGCACAAGGGTTACCGGAATTTAATGAGCCCAGTTCAGGGAAACACAGGGTAGCTGCTTTCCAACTGGGCGGCACGATCCTTATATTCCACCACTCTGCTGGCTGTGGCTGACGGCGAGCATTCGCAGGCCTCTGTCACAACCATATGCAGGCACACATGAGGTATGTCTGCAAAGCTACAAATCCCACATCCAAGCACAGTACCATCTGCTTCATCGGATTAACACACACACACAAGAATGAAAACTACACCCACAGAAAACTGAGTACGTATTGTAGAAATGTAGAGGAAAAATAAAAATATTTTTTCAAATGTAATTACTTTTAATATATGCTTGTGGAAGGTCTAATACAATGTATGCTGTCTCTGCAATTTTTGCTGTAAATAACCAGAGACAGTGAATACACTGATTTTTCTATGTCTGTTTAAGCATAAGACTTTGTAACAATTTTTTTAGAGGGGGAAAAAACAACAAAGAGCAAATATGCACTTGCTTCCTTTCTGCGTGTTCTGTACTTCTCGGTTTTTTAATGGAAACTGGTCATAACAGTTTAAGCATCTTGACGGGTCATTGGTGTTCAGTGTATGCTTCTTTTTGTAACACAACTGAGAAAGGGACAGGGCTGTCAATTAAATCTGCTCCAAAGAATTTGTACTGAAGATTGGCCTAAGACTTGCAAACGCTGTCTGAAGGAGACAATATGAAAAAGGAAATTCAAAAAACAAAACATTGTGTGAGTTAAGTCATCTTTCCTTGTAAGTAAATGGCTTTGTCTAAATCCTTTCTGCATGGGATAGCTTAAGGAAAACAAACTCCGCTTTCTGATGAACAAAATATTTTTGTACACGTTTATTTCTTATAATTAATAACCTGAGGTCAGACCACTCATTCGCTGAAGCCATAACTGACCTTCACCAAATAAATGTTGTAAAGAACCTGGGGGAGGGTTGGGGAGCAACCGAGAGGGAGGAAAACTTGAGGTGTCATGAACTGTAGCAACCCAGGCAGGAGCAAGTCTGTGGAAGCTGATGCTTTTCCTGCATCCCAAATAGGACTGTAAAAGGCTAATATTTTATGATGATCAATTTATAAGAAAAAAGATATTTAGATTTAAATGAGACTTTCCAATATTTTTTAAATCCCTGACAATGCTTCCTTGCTTTTAGGATTGAGAGAAATGATTTTCATATCGTTCCATCATTCAGAGGTTTGATTTTTTTTTTTTTTTTTTACTTTAGCTCCAGCTTACACTTGCAAAGTGAAGTGACTCTAAGCCTTTCAGCACTTGAAACCAAGGGCTGTCCGGGGCTTGGCTGCACCCCCTATCCACCACTGCGCCTGGGGGAGCAAGCGTGGAAGGGGTACAGTTTTCATCTCATTAGCATGCACACCACTGTTGGCAATGCACAAAAGTTGCACTGCCGCATCTATGTAAAATAAAAGTATGCACTCTAAAATAATTCTACTTTAAAAAATAATGCCTCTTATAGTCACCACTGGAGCTTCATTACATAATTACCATGTATTCTTCTCAGCCTATAGAGGCAAAAGGCAAACTGCAAATAAACCCAGTGACATATATAGTTTTAAAATCTACAATTTTCTGATCTCTCTCTCTCCTTGTTTAATATATAAGCCCTAATTTCCGTGTATGTCAGTAAACCTGCAGCCTGAGTCATTTAGGAAGTAATCATTGAGTTTTTTTAAGTATAAATATACTAGAATAAAACAGCACTCCCTAACAATTAAAAAAGAGTTTTATATTACTTTAGAATGTAATAGGTTTTTGTCCTTATTTTATGTCCTGTAAATTATTAGTTGAATACTGTTAGCATTCCTGGATAATGCACACATGATTTCTGAATGTTTTCTGTAAATGACAATCAATGTTTATGAAGTTCCCTCCTTTAATGCTGGACAAAATTAAAAGAAGAAAAAGAAAAAAATCTTGCCTGATGCTTTGCTTAATCACCAAGGAACAAAGAGGAGGTAAATTTGGCATTGTAAACACCATTTCATGGGTTCTTACCAGTTGTGCTTTTCTTCTTAAATAATGGGTAAGTTTTCTTTTCTGGAAATTCTTGTGTCTGCTGGACCTGGCCTGAGTTAGAAGTGTTCATTGAGGAAAGACCCAGACTTCATTCATACCAAGTTGCAATTAAAATGAGAGCAGCATCTCTCGAAGATAATAGCTCTCTTTTTCTCAGCACTTCCATAAAAGCCCTAGCTTACAGAGCCACAAGCGACTCTCCCTGCAAACACTTGGCTGAAATAAGCTGCAAAAGGTTTGAAATGGGTGGGACAATCCCCGCATCCGATGAACTCTTTCAGATAATAATTACCGATGAAGCCTCTAGACCTGATTTTATTTTTTTAACAATGCATCACCAAGCTGCTCCATTGGCAAAATCAGTGTCCACCTAATGGGGATGCAAGGAATCTTATTTGAAGCTACTATAGGAAGCAGTTGAGGTTAATCACACACTCACAGTGATGTTAAACAAAGCAGTTCTAAGAGAGGCCAGCGATTTCTAAGGTGCTAGGAAGTTGCTACAGGCTGAGGTCCCTAGAAGGGAAATGGTCTAAGAATAGCAGTTTTAGGGCCGGCGCCGCAGCTCACTAGGCTAATCCTCCACCTAGCGGCGCTGGCACACCAGGTTCTAGTCCCGGTCGGGGCGCCGGATTCTGTCCCGGTTGCCCCTCTTCCAGGCCAGCTCTCTGCTGTGGCCCGAGAAGGCAGTGGAGGATGGCCCAAGTGCTTGGGCCCTGCACCCCATGGGAGACCAGGAGAAGCACCTGGCTCCTGCCACCGGATCAGCGCGGTGCGCCGGTTGCAGGGCGCAGGCCGCGGCGGCCATTGGAGGGTGAACCAACGGCAAAAGGAAGACCTTTCTCTCTCTCTCTCTCTCAGTATCCACTCTGCCTGTCAAAAAAAAAAAAAAAAAAAGGAATAGCAGCTTTAAACAATATTTAATAGGTTTTAAAAGTAGAAGCATTATGGCCTGGGAAATCAGTAGAAGATGGCCCAAGTCTTTGGGCCTCTGCACCCATGTGGGAGACCCAGAAGAAGCTCCTGGCTCCTGGCTTTGGATTGGCACAGCTCTGGCTGTTGCAGCTATCTGGAGAGTGAACCAGCAGATGGAAGATCTCTCTCTCTCTAGCTCTCTCTGAGTGAAGCAGTGGATGGAAGACCTCTCTCTCTTTCTCTTTCTCTCTCTCTCTGCCTCTCCTCTCTGTGTAACTCTGACTTTCAAATAAATAAATCTTAAAAAAAAAAAAAAAGTAGAAGCATTGACTCAAACAACAGGATGAACTTTAGTAAGCCTTCGATAAGGTTTCTCCCAACTCATTTGTGGAATCAGCGAAAGCCCTTGCAGAGTATTTCAATGAGCATCTATATTCAAAACATCCAGACCCACACGGCCCTGCTCCGAAGACACGGAAACAGCAGACTGCACTGATGTCTCTGAGAGCATCACTGGTGGATCCTTTATGTCCCTTGGTTTCCAGTCAAGTCTGCAAGTGACTCATCAGAGAAGGCAAACATACTATAACAACCTAATCCAGACAACATAATCGGGTCACTAACACTTGTTCATGGAATTTTTTTTAAGCTTCATTTATTTATTTATTTGGAAGGCAAAGTTAGGGAGAGAGGAAGAGACAGACAGAGATCTTGTATCTACTGGTACACCCCTCAAGTGGCCACCACACTGGGCTGAACCAGGCTGAAGCAAGGAGCCTGGAACTCCATCTGGGTCTTCCACGTGATGGAAGGGCCTGAAGCACTTGGGCCATCTTCTCCTGCTTTCCCAAGTGCATTAGCAGGGAGCTGGATCAGAAGTGGAGCAGCCAGGACTTGAACCAGTACCCAAATGGAATGCCAGCATTTCAGGCAGCAGCTTAACCTGCTGCACCACAATACAGGTCCCATCCAGGAATTCTTTTCTATAAAGTCACCTACACATGGTAGCATTGAAATACAAGATGAAACTCAGCACTTTTAAACTCAACTTCAACCATATAACATGAAAAGTATGAACCTTTGATAGAGTTATTAATAAATATGAATTAAACCCTTTTTGTGCACAAAGCTTGGCTCCAGTCATAGATCCTATTTTTTTATATAAGAGCAAGAGCTGGCATAAACACACCAGGCTAGTGTGCATGAGGCCTGTCAGGTATGAAAGAGGTACCCTTGTGTTTGACCCCATATTCCAAGTGGTGGCAGCTCCTTGATCCAGAGAGAGAAGAGGAGAAAACCCTCTAATGCCATCTTGACATGGAGTAGGGTGGGGAAGAGTGTGTCTTAGATTACAAAGCCACTGTATTGCAAAAGTTTCCCCTTGTTGTATCCTAAATTGAACTTACAAAGTTTAACTTGAATAAATGTTCTTGTAAAACACTGTAAAATTCCTGACATCTGGTGCTCACAGACCTTTCCTTAAACCACCCAAGTTCATGGTGCAGGGCAAGGCATAGTGAAAGACTTCAGTACCCCTCTCAACTACATATAGGGGGATGCATTCTCCTTTTCTAATTTTACCTGCCTGA